TTTGAATTTGTTTTAAGGATACATTTTACTTGCTGGTAAGTGGCTTATTTGCCAAATAAATTTGTTAACACCTCTTTCTCTAGGTTGTGACAGAAATTCTTCTCTAATAAGGGCTCAGTCTGCAACATTCCCGCTTTCACAAATAAAAACAAGATCACATACAATCCACCTTAAACAACGAACAGAAAAACATAAACATTCCTGAACACAAATATCTTAAACAACTCACAATGAGGTGTTTGCTGTTGTCCGGTCATTTTTGTGGCCTTGTTATGCGGGGCAGTTTGGGTGGGTTTTTCTTGTTTATTTTATTTTATTTATTTTTTTTACAATGACAGGAAGTTTTATCAGGATTAAATGAGCTATAGAAGTAAATTGTTGATTCAACTAATGAGTTATACCCCAGAAGTATAATAGAATTCCTAGCATTTAAAAAACAAAACAAACATAAATATCTCAGCAGATGGATACCTTGGGTCTGCGTGTGAGTTAAAACTTGTTTCACTGAGTTAGGTAGCTAACTCAGGTAGCAGTTTCTGTCGGACTGAACCATTTTGCGCAACCACTAGGATGGGCAAAATGGTTCAGTCCGATAGAAACTGGTGATGAGTGTAATGTCAGTGAGCTCAGACTGAATGACCTGGGGGTAAAAGGGTAGGTCGACCGCTTTCGCCTAGGAAGCGTGTTAGTGGTTATGTGGCGCCATCTTAGGGCGGTCGACAGCTCTTCTCAGTGTAATGTGTTGAGCAGGCACAGACTCAATTTTAGTCAACTTTACCTCGTTGAATATTAAACTAATATTCTGTTTTTTTATTTATTTATTTATTTTTCCTGCAAACCAACAAAGGTTCAGTACAAGTGGTAAATATTTTTAGTGGGGTTTAGAGTAAAATAATATTTGGATTAACTACTAACACATTTATGCAGGTTTACACAAATATATATATATATATATATATAATAAGGCTGCATATATTTTGATGATTTATTACAAAACAGTTCATAAGATAAAAGAAGATACAATAGACTACTCTTGAGGCCCAGTTCCTCTTCTCAGCACTTAATTTGAAATGCTGACCTTGACTGGGACAAATGAGACTAAATACTGCGGAAATCTCCTTGGTTACTTTGTGACTTCCTGAATAATAATAAATGATTGATTCTGGTCTGTAGTAATAACATGAAGACACCTAGCAAGCTTTTGTTTTGCTCAAAAGCAACATCCATTACAGTTTATAATAATGGAAAGGATTCCGATGTCAATTATTAATTTTGCCAAATGGAAGCATCCAAGAAAGAAACTGGCCCAAGAGCAAAATGTTGTGGCATTCCTTAAGTAACCAGGTGTAAGAAGAAAATAAATTAACAACAAACTGAATCTGTCCAGAGCAGATGTTTTATGTTCATGAAAATAAATACACATGGAGTTTACTAATTAAGTGACCTTTAAAGTCACTTAATTAGTGACTTTAATTACGTCCTTGTTAAGAAATGTGTCACAGTGCAGCTAGTATTGTCCTGCTAATGTCATATAATTAGTTAAATCCAAATGTATCTACAGTTTTTTTTCAAGAGTCAAATATATATGTGTCTTATTTTTACTTTTTCTTTTTTTTTTTCAGTGATTTTGCCAAGGACCTGTATCAGCATAAGAATCATCTGTTTCGCTCCTGGTTTCTGGAGCTGCTAATGCTGTGTCTACTCATAATTGTCTTATTTGTGGCCTTCTCAGACAGTGATCTTTCATGGTTTGAAAAACTTTACCATCACAGCCAGTACCATAGTCTTTTCAACCACAGCCATCAGTTTGGTTCACCTGCTTATCGAGTCACCCCAACGCACAAAAATATGCTAAATACAATTCATAAAAGTATAGAGTCTCCTGCACTGCAGTCTGGAGGTCTTCAGTACCATCAAGCCTATCCGCACAACTACCAGTTTGTTATGGATAACACTGAGGTTTGCAAAAACAATGCACCTTTCCTGGTCTTGATTGTGCCAGTGGCACCAATAAACATTGCAGCTCGGGAAGCAATCCGCCAGACATGGGGCAAAGACAGGCTGGTTCAGGGTGAGGTGGTAATTACTCTTTTCATGTTGGGTCTCCATGAGGGAGCAGATGTGGAGAAGCTTAAACAAGAGAATGAGCAACACCATGACCTGA